AGAAGACTTTAATCTTCGTAATGGTTTTAATGGGTCGATGATCAACAATGACTAGCTTATGGTCACTGGTGGTCAACAGTGAGGTGGACATCAAGGTCAGCGGTCCAGTGAAGATCCAGAAATGGTCAAGAGGTGGGACCAATCGAAATAGTTTCTTTGTAGACGAGACAGTCTTACCTGTTATCTTCAACTTTGGCTCTGACTGGTCTCCCCACCCTTTCATCACCTTAGACATATAAGCAAGGTCACTGCGAAGATTTCTTCAGTCGCGTCGCGAATTCGGGAGTGTACAAATGGCCAGAGGAGAACCGGGGACCGCTGCTGACCACTACTGGCCAGCGCTGACCACAGCTGACCATGGCTGACCACTACTGACCAGTGCTGATTCGCGTTCCTGCCACTACTGACCACTACTGACCAGTGCCGGACGGTGATGACCAACGGTAAGAACTGTTTAAAAATTCTCTCCCCTCTTCTATTCTATCATTTGATGCCAATTGTGCTTCAATGAACTGATTTTGCCTTGTTTATCTAACCGATGTTGCTATAATATGAATATTTTCTTACTTTACAGCTGGCCCTTATGGTAACTACCCTATGTACTGACAACAAGTAGTAAGTCCACTCCACTTATTTATATTTTATTATTTTCATTTGTTTGTTCGATGTGAATTCAACTGTATTTATCTATCTGATATTATTTGGTTATTATGAATGTTCCTTTTCTATGTTTCTACTTTTACATTGTTCGTCGAATTTATGTGATTGCTTTGATACGTATAGTATTGCAGGATATAATAATGTAGTATTGTTTTCAATCATATACTACATTCGTTTCTACACGATTCCATGAATTTTTATTTTTACCTTCTTGCTCGAATTCTCGTAATATTCTGCGGAGGTACTTTCTTCGATTCTTCCATTTCGTTTGATTGTTTGGTGTTGATTCAATTTGGTGTCTCGATCCAAGTTCCTATCGTTGTTACGAATGGTCGTTTCGAGTTGTATCACATTGCGTCGATGTATATACTGTATTCGTTTCGACGATACCGATCATTAGAAGAATGTTCGTTTTGATACGTAAAACATGGTGTCGATGGATATGCCATATTTGTTTCGATGGCACTGATCGATATAAGATTTCTATTTTTACGTTTAGCCCCTTTAGCTAGGTGATAGATTATTTTTAAGCGTTTATTAAATTTCCTACCATGTCTCACTAATATAAGTATTAGTTTTGATTTCAGTTTAAATTTGGATTGATCGCAAGGACACCGAGGGAGAACGCCGCGCCCGCCGAGGGACTTTTAATTCCGAGTTGATTAGTCTTAAGCTTCGTCGCGAGTATTAAAATTAACGTCGAAGCCTTCTTTATTATACGTATCTCCGTGTCCTACCAAGCAATTATTCAATAAGTAGATTGTCTCTCGCTCGTTCCCTCGTTCCTAGCTTCGGTCACCGCTGTTTCATCTATTGAAACATGTGATCGGCCGTGTAGCTGGCCCGACAGATCTAACCGCCTTCCCTTGGTAGCTAGATCCAGGGAAAATGGTACTCTGCTGGAAGGTGTGGAGTTTCCGTATCCTGCGGAAACGCATACCTTCCAGCGGAAGTCGACACTGAAACAGAGGTACTCTCTCTATGTCAGACAACTTGAGTCGGGTCCTTCGGGCTCCCGGCGGGTTGCGTTGGAGCAATGGAGACCTTAGATTCGGAGTCGCAGCCGTCCGTTATCCCATAGAGATCTAGTTTAGCAAGGGCAGTAGGTTCGATCCTCGGATCCGCTGCACGGTTCAGCTTCGCGTCGCGTCGTGTCGCGTCGCGTGTCCCTCGAATTAACTTCGTCCCTCTTTTTAACCAAATAATTGCTTGGTACATCCAAGGAACTTTGTTTCCTTTTATCGTTCGAATTTTAGTTTTAACTTGACCAGACTCGAGCTTCGACGTTAATTTTAAGCCCCTATCGTACGCGTCTCCCAATATTTCCAAGTAATTATTTAACAAGTAGCTTCACTCGACTCGTTCTCCGGTTCCTAGCTTCGATCACCGCTGTTTCATCGATCGAAACATGTGATCGGCCGTCCAGTTTGTCCGAAAGATCTAGTCGCCTGCCCATGATAGATCGATTGCTAGAAATAGGAATCAATCTACCAAGGGCAGTGTTGATTCGATCCGAAGATCTGCCTTACGGTTCAGCATCGCGTCGAGTCGCGTATCCCATAATTTAGCTTCATCCCTTTTCAAACGAAATAATTACTTGGTAGCTAAGCTTAGCTAAAAGGGAGATCGATGGAACTTTGATTCCATCTATCTCCCTTCGGGTCTCCACTCGCAGCAACCTCCTCGTGGTGAGACCTGGTAATCGGGTGTCACCCACGATAGAAAAGTTATTCTTCATGGGTGACGCCGAGCTAATGGCTGCGAATTTCGAATTGTTTCTTGATATAATAAACGAATTTCGATTTATAGTTAGACAGGTGTTTGGTTAACCATTACGTTAGGCAGGTTATTTTTATTTGAAGAAAAATTCTTTTGAAAATTCTTTTAACTCTCTCTGTTGGTTATGCATATTTCATTGGTTGCACTTTCGTTTGTTTCTTTTTCGACCAACGATCGTGGGTCAGAGAAGATTTTTATTAATGGAGGGTGGTTGGGAATCGGTTAGGGCGGGTCACCATTCGCAGCAACCTCCACGTGGTGAGACCTGGGTAATATTAATTACCGTTTAATTAATAATCGTATCACTCTTAGCTGGGTAATGCAATTATTAATTAAAAACTGAATAATATTAGGAAATTGGCTGCGATCCGCTTTGCATAGATCGTCATAAATATAGAACTTCTTCGCTAGGTTAGTTTTAATTCTCATTGATTCATCAAAGATTCAAGAGTATTGTCACAGACGAAGTATACAGGTAGATCTTTCACCCAATTGATTTTTTCGCACCATTTTTATGGGGTCTCGAAACCCCATTACCATTTTCGTGTCATTCCCAACGTTACCAACAGATTAAAAAATGAATTTTAATCCCTTCCATAGTCAATTCGCATGTACTTACGCATACACTACAGCTGTCTGCCTATCAATGCTAATTCAATGAATAGTTTCTCAACTGACCGCCATCCATGAGAAGAGGCCGCTAAAATCAGCTCCGAATTTTCAGGTCGGTATGGCAGTCAGATTCGGCCGCGAAAGTCCATAAGGTGAAAGGTCTATTCATATATCTCGTCTGTGGTAGAATTTTTATTTTTCTCGATAAACGTCTACGTACTAGCGATCAAATTCGCGATGGTAATTTTTGCCATTCAAAGGTAATTTATTTTTTCCAACGATAAGAAATCAACTTCCGTCTGAAATTTCAATGGAATTACTCGACGCGCTCCGCGAGATGGCCACACACTTATGGCAAACGAAGAATAATTCCACTGCAACCGATCGATATTAAATTTTAAATTATTGAAAAGTTCCCCTAACAATTTTACGTTTCTGGTCTTATGCGAAAATTAGATTTAATTTTAGTACCTTACAATATCTGAAAATAATATTTGATATATGAAAATATATCGTAGCATTGATAACAGTTATCGTATCATTTTATTTCGAAATTTTCTGGAAGAAACGTTGCTAAAATGACATTTTTTATTTCCCCACAATTTTCACAAATGGTCACTTTAATAGAGACATATATATTTAGTTTCTGTACAACAATCTGGCGATCGACTTTGTTTGTATGAGTTTTAATAATGAATTTTCACGAAACGAAAGGCAATGTAAGAACATAAGAAGCAAAAACAATAGGTTGTCAGCCATTTTATACCGTGCAAATACCCGAAAGTAGTATCGTGTCTCGTAAAACATTCCCTTATCGCCCTTCGGTCGCCTTTTCCCCTTTGCGACGCGTGAAACAGCACAACTTTCGCTCTACCTCTGTCCTGCGAGCTTTAAAACGCACCCCGAAGACGGTGGTATACACAAACATAACCACCTCTTCGACGAAAGTGCACAGAGTGAATCATGCGATTGGGGCGGGTTACTTACAGATTGAAAAAACCCCGTAGAGAAAAAATTTCAACGATACAATAGCGTCCATTTTTTTTTTAACGGAATTGCATATTTTTATTTGCTCGAATCGATCGTCCAGGTCATTCAGCGCAGAAAATCATTGAGGCATCGTGTTGAAAAAATCGATATTTCGCGAGATATTTCACACTTTCTCCAAGTCGTTTGCTTGCAAAAGATGTTGGAACGCTCCTTGATGTTCGTTTATGTTAGAAGAGTGTAATTAGTGTTTGGGTTGGGTCTTCTGCTGGAACAGATGATCGCGAGTCTACTTTCTCTTCGAGGTAGCTCCACAACAAAGAGGTCTGGAAGCTACGAGGTGTCGTACTATGCGTTGCAAGCCATAACTCGCGAAATATTGATTTTCCGAACATGGTGCCCCAATGATTTTCTGCGCACAATGACCTGGGGGAGCGATTCGAACAACTAAAAATATACAATTTCGTTAAAAAACAATATATCTGTACTGGGGCACCGAAAAAACGGGCAGTACTGTATTATTAAACATATTTTCGAGATATAACCCGACCAACGACTACTGAAAGAAGTCACAAAATAAAGCAAGATTCTTGTTGGGTGCCCTTGGAACCCTCCCGTCACGAGGCAAACAAATAATTTATTTATACATCCGTGGAGTTTTTGGCAGCAGTTTCGACGAAAGAAAGACGCGACTGGGCAATAATTTCCTGGGGGCGAAGTCGATCCCCGGCGTCCCAGTTCCGCGCTCGGAATCGAGAATTATTTTCTGCCCTTTCGTGGGCGCTCGCTATCGATCGATCGGAACGCACGCGGCACTCGTTGCCACGAGTCGCTAAATCGCTAGGCGGAAAGAGAGAGAGAGAGAGAGAGAGAGGGTGGAAAAACCCACCCCCGCGCGGACGGGGCTATAAGTACCCCAAGCGAACCGCGCGCGGGCTTATAGGTCCCGTTGCGGTCTTCCTCGTTCGTTCGCGGCGTCGCGAATCGCGAACCGCCACCGGATGATCTATGAATAGATCCCCGAGATCCTCCAGTGCCATTTTGATTCGGCGTCGGATCGATTGACACCGCACGCCGGGCTAAACACGTGCAAGCTCATCGAGCGCCAGGCATGGGACTGTCGTCGATCGAGGTACCGGAAGTTGGACGCGTCGCGATAGGAAACTCGCGACTCTCGCGATGATCGGTGTCACCTGACGATTACTATTGCCTCGAGGATGAAGAAGACCAAGTCGTTGATGGAGATCGAGGACATCTGCGGATGCTCCGGGCTACCCTCGATCGTCCCGCGAAAGGAACTGCCTCATCTGAACTCAACTTCCGGTGAGTTTTCGTGAAATGTTTTGTCCCGCGAATTTCTTTGACTATTTTTCTCTGAATTCTTAACGCGGTTATCGCGGGAGGCTACGTTGCTCAAGTTGGTCGACCTGGTTTTCCGAATCGGTTCGGTGGGCGGTTTGTTTGGGCTTCCTTTCCGTGGCGTTTCGCTTCATTCTCACGGATCGGTCTCCCGCGGATGGCCGGGGATATTTCTCAGCGAGTTTTTCGGTCGATGTAAATAGAAGCACGTAGTCGCCGTTATGGTAAACAAAGCTAAAAAAAAATGAAAGTTTATTTGACAGCGACGGTGCTTTTCCGAGAACGTTTATCACGCCACTCGCGATCCTTTTCGAACACGATGCAACGGGAAAAAAAATATTGGAGATATTTGCTGTGCCACTTCCAATTCGGTGTGTGTCGTATAAATTTTATTCTTATTTTAAAAACGTAGACGGGAATATTTCATTGTCATTCGAAGTAACGATTGTTAGAAAGTACGACAGTGATCTTGCATCGTGTTTTATCGTGTTTGAGGATCCAATCCATCCAAAACATCGTTTGGAAATTCTCTTTGTTGACTTTGATTGGGTTTGATGAAGTTTATCGTTGATCGTAGCGATCTATCCGCTTTCTGGGGAAATTTTATTCTTCACTTTCTGTCGATTGTAACTGCAGTGGCGCGAGGTAACTGTGATCTTGTTAATTTTAACGTGATTTCTGGAGAAGCACCTTATATGCTGGCTTACGCTACGGTTTTCGCGTCGCGGTTAAGACACGAGCGACAACAAAAGACGTGGAATGGGATTACCATCGAACGAGGCTAAATAAATAATTGTATTCTAAAAAGTTTGCTCGTATAAAATAATAAGATGTATTAACATTCGATTCTAAACAAAATTTTTTCAAACTTTGAATTAATTAAAATTCTATTCTCTTTTTTAGTTTTTAACAACGTAAAACTTTGATATTGACGAATATATAAATACACGAATGTTTCCAAATATAGACAATTTCCATCGAACTTTTAGTTTAATTTTAACCGACTTTCCCATGGAAAGGCGTAGGAAAGTTACAATAAAAAGAGGATCGATATGAACGCACGTGTTCGCCAAAGTGAAACTCGGACGATCGATAAGCTCATAACAAAAACTATACATCTGTCAACCTTGAATAAAAATTAATATCAGACTCGTGTCGCGAAGAATTCATTTAAAGAATTACGAGATTCCCATCGTCTTTCTTCTCGGAGAATTCCAACTCCTGGCGAATAATTATTAGATTTTCATTCCTCATTTTTACGATCCGACAGTAATTATTTTGATACTTCTTCGACCGAATTTCTCCCCAGAGATGATCTTTAAATTTGTCCACCCTTTAGCTGGTTAGCAGATAATAAATACCATATGTTTCCATTAATTTCAGTTCATTATTCTGTTTTCTTTCGTCCGTTTTTTCCTCGTTCTCCGGCCCCTCGTCACGGAGCAGCTGGTTTACGTCCAAATTTTATGACCTTTGTGATAGAAAGCAGTTTTGGGTCTTCGAAAACGTATGATCGTTGAAGGATAGCGATTTTATAATCGTTTTAACGTCCCGAGGCCGTGTATGTTTCTGGTACGGCACAAAATAAACGATCCACTTTATCGAACCGACGCGATGAACGATCAATGCCTGTCGATCGTTAAATAAATTATTAAACGCCGGTTCCTAAATCGAAACTAAAAAACAAATCGATAATGATTTCGACAAGGTTTAAAAGAATTCAATTGAACTCGAACTGCACTTGTTACAAGAATTTTCCATATTTTCAAACGCCTCTCCGATTTACTCAAACTTTCAGTCGAACTTGAAAACATATTTCTCTTAGAATTCTATTTTGAAGATTTCCAAAATAGATGTAGTTTCCGTTGAAAGAAACGCCGCTTTACAGTTGACGTCCGGGGCGTCCCGACGCCGAGTCTTCGCGACTGCCTCGTATTTTTCTTCTTTCCCTCCAGACCACCTCCCCGCCCTTGCAAATACCAGCTGTTTCGTTTCCTAAACCCTTCGTCGAAAGCTACGAAATTCCCGAGCATTTCTCTCCCCCTCTGTATCGTCTGGAAAAAATAAGAATAGCTCTCCTCTCTCTTTAATCTCTCTCGTTCACCGACTTCAAATCTCCCACAACGTCAGTTCTAAATCGTTACTCGACGACTGCACGCGTTCACGAAGAATTTTTTCTCTCGTCTCGTCAAACTTTAAGAAAACAACGAAGCAGATTTCGCGAACGTGCTTTGCCAAATAAAGTGTTAAAACGTCTGAGAAGGAAGACTCTTTGAAGTCGGATGTAAACGTTTCTGAGTTAAATCGTGGCATAAAACTCAACGATACTTCGACTTCGAGAACTCCAAACGATGGTCTCACGCTGTTGGACCGATTATTATCGAAATATGGACGGTGTGACGCGATAGGCGAGTCGAAACTGAAGGTACCAAAATGGCGGTGCAATTTTACAATCTACCCACCGAGGGATCAGTAGCTATCGAACTGTTAGGTGAAAATTGATAGATACCTAACGAGATATTCATCAAAATTCCATCGTCAAATGGTCAGTGGATGAATCGTCGATAGTCAAATAGTGAAAGCTAATGATCGTCCACTTGTGCGTTATGCCCGTGACTCTGAAAACCTAACAGTCGCGAAACCACAAGTGACTCGAAAGAAACGAGAGCGTTAAACTTGGAAGCTTCCGTGGCGAAAGAAACGCTTTCTCCGTGCTCGAGATGACACGTTAACTGCCGTATCAAACTAACTGTGGAATACCACTGTGTCATCTTCTAACCTAGTCAGGCACTCCAGCACCTGTGTCACGTATCGAAAGGTGCTCCAAACAACTGAGATCGCGAATAAATTCGTTGCAACAGGGCTAACTCTAACCATCGCAATATTAATTTCAATTTTCCTTTTCTTCGATCACTCGTTCCTGTTTTAAATTCAGTCAGTTTAAATTACTCGAGAAACAATGTCCAATGTCCTGTACAATGTATTTACTTCGAAAAAGTAATTTATTACGAATTCAAAACAATCTCGAGTAGAGACGATAAACAAGAAAATTTGTTTCAAAGAATTAATGAAAAGGTCACGACACATCGACGATGTATTTACTTCGAAAAAGTAATTAAGATAAACAAGAAAATTTGATTCAAAGAATTAATTCCTGAAGAGGTCACAACACTCGAATTTTCCGTACAAAAAATATCGAACAGGAGATATAAATAAGAAAATTGGTTTCCAGCGATTAATTTAATCGTTGGTTGCGTCCACGGTCTATTATTCGAGTGAAATTTCGCCCCGAGTCCGACGCGATGGCAGAAATCCAACAGGTGTTTGAACTTCTGATCCGACTGGTGAAAATAAACGTGCACCGGGTTGAAAACACAAATGATGAGAAAGCGTAGAACAACGGGGAGAAGTTTGACGAAGTAAGCTCGCTCGGCTATCGCGTTAGAAAGAAAGAAAAAAAAGGTGGCTGCGAGCGCGACGCCCGAGCCTGACGCGTCTCTGTTGTCCCGTCACCTCCACGGGGTGTCGCTTTCAGTCCCCTGGCCGAGTCGAGGGGCCCGGAGGCCCCAGCAGGTGTAACAGACCGTTTCCATTCACCGCGGCGCGCCGTCGCGGAACAGACTGCGCACGATCCCGAAAGAAAATCGTGCCGAGCTGTTCGCTGCGACTAGAAACGGGCCCAAAACGGCAGCCTGGTGATTTCAGATATCGAAAAGAAATTGTCCAGACACTGTGATCGCGACGAAGAAGATCGAGATGACCGGAGACAGACGAGTCCTCGAGTTTTATCAATATTTGAGAAATATAGCGAAAGTGTCTAGATGGAGACTCGAGAGAAGGCGAACAGGACAAAGTTTCTCGACGATGATGTGAATTTTTAGTGAAAGATAATCGAGTGACGAGTCGTTTCGACGAAAGGGGAAGTTCTGGATTATTGTGCTGCGAAATAGGACGCAAAGATGGTCTTTTTCGGGAGAAAGGAGAAGCTGGAGGACCGTCGGTTGCTGGACAGCATCGACGCCATGAACGGGACCAAGATCTACCACATGGAGAACGGTAAAGAGCGAATTTCGGCTGGGAAATACTTTTTATTTCGATCTTCATCGAAGACTGTGTACGGAGTCGCGTCGTTCGTTCGATCCTTGATCAATTCGAGCGTGTGGATGCAAGTTTCGCGCGCGATCGGTTCCGTGAAAGTGAGCAGACACATTTTGGACGCAGAAGATCGAATATTTCTTTGCTCCGTTGGATATCGATCGATAAAATCTATTTATTTAGACAATAGACCCAACAAAAATTCTACGGTATCTCGTTTCAAATACTTCGTAGCTTTTAACGTCAAATGTGAATCTGTGTACGAAATACTTGAGAGAAATGTAAAGGAAAGGTCTAAAGTACTCGGATCTGCAGTGCTGCATTATGTACTCTGCAGAGTCTAAGTAAACACGATCAAAAGAAATATTTATTCGCTCGCGAGCAAGTCTCTCGAGGAAAATTATTCCGCGTGTGTTTACGCGGATCCAAACATTATCTAAAGCAAATGCAATAACTTGCGGCGGAATAACAAAACGTTCTAATACTCGATTTCGCGGAGGCAAATTTTTTTAAGATTTAAGCTACGATTTCGAAGTCGAAGGAGAAAGGAAAATCAGGATCCGCTCGATTATTAATTCCATCTATCTGTACGAGTTAGCAGATGCGATAGAGGGTTAGGTTTCCCTAAGTACAGTTAGTTCAAGTACTTTTACTTCGGCTTTAAACGAGCGAGAAATAGGTCGAGGTGTTCCGGACAGACGATACGCGATCGGTACAGTCCTCTATGCAGTTCTATGCACTCGATAACTTCGTAACGCATTTATCATGCAGACCGTTCGTCGACGACGTCGCTTATCGTCCTATATTCCAGCGTCGAGACGTTCATCGCGAGCACTCGAAGCTCCGAAAATCAAACATCGAAAGTCCCCGTACAAAATCACGCGCGAATTAAATGTTTCCAAGGTTCTTTCTCTATATTATGCATATTCTGATCGGGGGGAGAGAATGTCACGAGGTCGAAGGAGATCGAGTAGTGCAACGAAGTTAATATTGTGAGTAGCTCTAATTAGTTCTGCTAGTTAGGAACGTCTCTAAGCAGCCCATCGTTAGCACCGCGATAATTTCTTTGTCCTTGAGCTTGCTCTGCATCAGCCTTTAGACTCAATTGTTTTTTTTATTTAACTGTTTTTTAATAACGGCTAATGTTTGTTGGCTAACAGTGAACTATTTGTTTTGCTAAAGGCTTCATTTATAAATGCGTGGATATAGTAATCTCGCGTAAGTCCTTATAAAATAGTGCTAGTTTCGAACGAAAATATTGAGAAGCTACATTCCCTACTGTATTTTCGTTTCGAAATTCTTCCCCTCTTAAAACGTTCTGCAGACTCCTGAAAAGATAATAATCTCTTTGAGCAACGACAGGGGAATAAGAAAGACAGAGTATAGCCGCCCCACATGAAGACAGTGAACGTCTTGGGCACAAATATACAATTTCTACTAATCGCTAACAATTCAATAGATTATCCACCCATTGATTCTGATTATTATTATTGCAAAGTCACTTTATGGAAAGAATTTTTACTCGATCGTTTTGTAGAATATGGAACCTAACAAGTCTATAATCGAACTACGAAATTATTATTTTGAACTCCTGTTGTCGAGCCTCCTTTGATCTCATTTACGATATCGTTAACAAACCGAGTAAATAGGAAAGGATCGCGAGCCTTGAGGAACACCAGAAACCGCAGAAACGTGCATCTGGAGTAAGAGTTACTAATTTTAACTATTTCTACGCGATCGAAGTAGCTCTTAATCCGATCCGATGCGATTGCACTCTGTAACTGCATATTCTGCAACTGTACTAATTTTTTAAAACGACTCATAGATGAATAGAGAATTTTGAGAACGCGTCGATCGAAAGAGAGATATTTTGCGAAAGAAGCAAGTTACCCGGAAAAAATTGCGTGTCGTGTACGTTCGAAGCCTCGATTCCGAGAATATTGCTCGACGTTTGATCTTTACCGACGCGCTGTCGTTCGATTTTTTCCACCGAAAGGTCCGCGTGCTCCGCTTCAGCCACCTGTAGCTAGCCGAATATTGATCCGCAAGGGAAGATGGCCACACCCGGCCTCCCCTAGCCGGTCGTTCCCTCTTTTACGCCCTCGTCCCGACGCTTCGAACCGGTAGTGTCGTTGCCCCTCGTCGTCGCGTATAGTCGCACAGTGTTATGGAAAAGTGCCTGGTCGCTGTTCCAGCCGCCTTCATGCACGTACGCGACAACCTGGAGGAACTGGGCAAGGTGGCCGACGACACGGACCTGCTTTTCCTCAAGGGCCTCCTGGACAGCCCGGTCGTCACGTCTTTGGTGAAGGTGAGTCGACCGCAAAACTCTTCCAAAACTGCATCACCTTCTACATTAACCTTCAAACGGATACCGAGATACTCGAGCTCCAATTGCAACTTGAAAACCAACCCCCAATTTCTCCTCGACTTTCTCGTCTAAATTAATTAGACAAAATTATATTTTAGTTGTTCTTTAAATTTACGTTTCGTCCTTTATTAACCAAGGGACCTCTCTGAGGATGCAATCTCAAAATAATGTAGAAATTTAATTTTTGATGGGATCAGTATTAATATTTTTTGGCACCAGTGGATTTGAATTTTTTGTATAATGAAAGGTATACTGAGATACTCGAGCTCCAATTGCAACTTGAAAACCAACCCCCAATTTCTCCTCGACTCTCTGGTCTAAATTAATTAGACAAAATTATATTTAAGTTTACGTTTCGTCCTTTACTACCCAAGGGACCTCCTTGAGGATTCAATCTCAAAATAATGTAGAAATTTGATTTTTGATGGGATCAGTATTAATATTTTTTGGCACCAGTGGATTTGAATTTTTTGTATAATGAAAGGTATACTGAGATACTCGAGCTCCAATTGCAACTTGAAAACCAACCCCCAATTTCTCCTCGACTCTCTGGTCTAAATTAATTAGACAAAATTATATTTAAGTTTACGTTTCGTCCTTTACTACCCAAGGGACCTCCTTGAGGATTCAATCTCAAAATAATGTAGAAATTTGATTTTTGATGGGATCAGTATTAATATTTTTTGGCACCAGTGGATTTGAATTTTTTATATAATGGAGGGTCATAAGCTTCTCGAATAAGCGAAGCGTATTTAATTTATTTCGTTTGCAATCTTCACAACATTGGTGAGACGAAATTATAAAAAAATTCGTGAGAATGTGTAAATATAATTTTGTTAAATCTAGTGTTTTAACCCCTTAACGTTCATGCCCGAGTCTGACTGCTTTGAAAACAATATTTGTTTAATCCAACGGTTTAGGGGATGATAATATTTGTTTTCATTCAAATTATACGTTAGATACAACATTAACAAAAACCGTATTTTTAGAAACAAATCCAATAAAGAAAACTGATCATTGTTGGTCAACCCGAAAAATATGAACGTTAAGGGGTTAAAGACAATGACAACTCAGATCATAGGGAACGTTAAATAAAGAACTATTCTAATTCTATTTTATATTTTTTTGGGTGCGATACTAGCACTATCGGCTTTGTAATAACACCATTTATCAACGAAGAACTATCAAACGACTTACTGCTGTCGATTATTTCATATTTATGTCTGCGTACAAATAATTGCTATCAGATATAGAATATAGAGTAGGACGAATAAAACAGAGTTACGCTTTCGTGAAAATAATTTGTCGATGAAGAGGCTACTTTAAAATTGTTACGAAACGCGCGTTTATTATTTCATTTTTAGGAAATGCGCTCCTCGCTTTCTATATTTTCTACCCGCCTCGACTAAAAATACATTGTTTCCTCACTTTCCAAAATAAATTCTTTCCTTGGCCTGGAAACACCACCGTGAAACCCATCGAGCGTTATTATTAAGTTTTGTTGACGATCTTCGTTCGTTTATAAATAATTCCAGAAACGTTAATACATAACTGTTCGTTTCATATTTTTAAATTCCCTTCGATCATATTTTCTTATTTCTATTCGATTTAATTTTACTATACTTAAAATTTAGAAGAAATAAAATTATTTTTCAAATGTTGAACATCCTTGTCATCAATTAATTCATTATAAGCGACCATCGAAGGTTCACATATGATTGTTTCAGAGATTAGGATTAGGGTGAATATGTCCCTCGCAAGTTTAGGCTTCTGATATTTCCATTTGAGTTCGTTTTCAATTTTCTATTTTTCCGTGAAATCCATCGAGCCTTATTATTAAGTTTCGTTGACGATTTTCGTTCGTTTATAAATAATTCCAGAAACGTTAATACATATCTTAATTATTCGTTTCATATTTTTAAATTCTCTTCAATAATATTTTCCTATTTCTATTCGATTTAATTTTACTATAATTTAGAAGAATTAGAATTATTTTTTTCACTGCAATTGGAATTTCTCTATTGAACATCCTTCTCATCAATTAATTTATCATAAGCGACCATCGAAGGTACACATATGAGTGTTTCAGAGATTAGGATTAGGGTGAATATGTCCCTCGAAAGTTTAGGCTTCTCATATTTCCGTTTGAGTTCGTTTTCAATTTTCTATTTTTCCGTGAAATCCATCGAGCGTTATTATTAAGTTTCGTTGACGATCTTCGTTCGTTTATTAAATTATTCCACAAACGTTAATACATATCTAAACTCTTCGTTTCATATTTTTAAATTCCCTTCAATAATATTTTCCTATTTCTATTCGATTTAATTTTACTATAATTTAGAAGAAATAGCACTGTAATTGAAATTTCTCTATTGAACGTCCTTTTCATCAATTAATTCATCATAAGCGACCATCGAAGGTTCACATATGATTGTTTCAGAGATTAGGATTAGGGTGAATATGTCCCTCGCAAGTTTAGGCTTCTCGTATTCCCGTTTGAGTTCGTTCCATCGTACAGTTTACAATTTTCTATTATTCCGTGAAATTCATTGCATCAAAAACCACGTTCCACAGCGAGTATCCGTCGAGAATAAACAAACTGTAGTCGATCATGCGCACGCAGAAGCACGGAGCACACGCACGTGCCACGTGTTTACTACGAGCGCTCGGCTTTACGATAGAGAGCCTCCCGTTTACGACGGTTTCCTTCCGTCTGCCCGTGAAATTTCCGCCATCGCGTGAATCCATCACGGTAGAATGAAAAATGACGCGGCCACGCGTGAGTCCTGGCCGACTGGTAAAAAAGTTTCTCGTGCCGTTGAACCCGTTCCGCTTCCTTCCAGATATCAGTTTCCTTAGGTCATCTTTAAAGATAGGAACCGTCTTGAAACTTGAAAAATCCATGATTGCACAAGGTGATCCCCCCATTGAGAAGAGCTTAGCTTTTTTTTTTAAACGAGGTTACAAAATTAAAATCTCCAAACATGGATTATTCTTTCGAAATTTAATTCTTTCCGCGAAGAAGCAAAAAATTCTCGCTAATTAACAATACGAGTTCTTTTGTCCATCGTGCTTGGTTAAGTGGAGTATTCAGGTCGTGCATGCTCAATAACGAGAGTTCCCGTCCATCGTGACTAACAGCTAAAGCTAACAATATTTTTAAAACATTCTAACCTATTCTAAAACTAATTAAACTTCTTTCTTTGTTTACAAAGTGCACCATTTTGAGTTTCTATAGAAACGGTGGAATTTTTATAAGCGTTCTCTGTTCCACGAATCCAGAAACAATCATCGTTTTTTCTCGGAAATATTCGTGTTCGAGAAAACAGTTTCTCGGGCGAAGCAGAAATTTTCGGAACTTTGCTCGCGTTGTCACGAGGTGCTTGCACCGCCCACGCATTATTTCGGTCGCGACACACATTTCACGTGGAAACGCTAACGACGCCTCCTCGGCCTTCGACGAAAGTATTAGCGTCGATTGTCCGACGCCGCCAGGATTCCAACGTGACGCGAGCCTAGCACGCGTCACTTTTTCTTTCGTCATCGTTATATAACGCGTGGGCGGCGAAAAATTTAAGAGTCTCGCGTGTCTTGCTTTCCACGCGATAAACCTGCGATCACGAATCCACGAAGAAAACGAGGAGCGTCTGTAAATCGGGACCACTGCAATTTTGTATCGAAGAAAATACTTTCGATAGACTCTGCACGATCATTATGAAGCGAGACTATAGTAGAGATCAGCGCTGTAAGCACTTCTCGACTGCCTCTCTTAACCTACCTTCCTCGTTGCTACGAAAGTTGCAAATTTTCTTTAACACGTTGACCGCCAATTTAGAACGATAAAATTGTTTACGAGACCAAAACTTTGATTTCAGACAATTGTAAACTACATAACTTAAAACTTAGTACTTGTTTTCATAGCTTCAGTAAAATTTATGAAGCCCATTAAAATTTAGTTTCTTTAACATTTCAACTTGAGAATTGTTTTAGTTCCACTGTTAAAAGTTCTGTCATCCATATATGGGTGACGTGACAGTCAAATTGTTAAAACGATACCATAATTTCAAAAACATTTTAACTTCGTACGTGTAAAATTCCAAGTTTTTATCAACACGAGAAGCTAAAATATTAAAAATATTACAGATCTCAAGAACTTGGAAAGTTATTAAATACATAGCAAACTCTTAAATTTCCAGTAATGATAATCTCTCTGGGAATTCCACGACTACGTTCGAAGAACCTTCGACCGCAAGAAAGTTGCTATTATCTGTTTCCCGTGAAGCTTCTTCTTCCAGAAAACTCTACGGAGTTTAAAAACGGTCCGAATTATCTCGTCTCGATCGGTTGCACGCAGCCTCGGTTTCCTGCGAGACGTTGGGGCCCCCGGATCGCTCGCCCCTTCCCCCTCCCGCCTGTCGGGGCCCGCATTCCATCTTCCTCTTTCGGGGCCAACAGGTAGAAGTCCCGTCCGGCGTCGAAAAGTCGTTAAGAAGCCGGTGTCCGTTTCCGGCTCGACGCTGAACCAACAATGGAAATCGATGACAGACAGTGCAAGGTGTCGGAGCTTTTCCCACCGACGAAAATACCCGTGAAAACTGACCCATCCGATCCGGAAAATTAGTCTATTGACTTTTGGGAACGAGCAATCTCACGCCTTCTATTATAACTGCTTTAATTTCGAACATTTTACCCGCTCGATGTTCGAGAAAATTAATTGGGTAAAGCAAGTATACATTATAATTGACGGATTCACTATAGATGGGGAAAAAAAACTGTGGGGTTTTTCCATTTTTATTTTTTACCAAACGCTATATAACCCTTCTATTTACGCGAAGTAGTGTTTTTATTATTTTTTAATTTTAACCAGGCAAGTAAACCTAATTACAAACTAGATAGACTACAATTGACGGATTCACTATAGATAGGAAACTGTGGTTTTT